CAATCCTCCCTATATATAATTCCAGAATGCGGTGAGCCTACGTGGCTGCTTCTGGTGCTTCGGAATCCTATTTGGCGAAGAATCATGTTTCGTAATTAGGTTTGGATAAATAATATTGATATATTAATAATAATAATCTAGGTTCGGGTATTCCATAAATATTATTTAGGTAATTTATGTATTTTAATATCACTTTTACTAATATAACCCTTTTAATTCTTTATAATTTTACATAGTGAGGCACTAAGTGACTAATATATCCTGAATTTTGATTTGTTTCCTTCAATAAACTATTGAATTAAAAATGTATTTTAAAAGTTGATAACTTTTGTATCACTTATCGGTTTTACATATCTAATATATCAAATTAATCATCTTTTGATGATCTTCGATTTGACATCCATATTGTATATATATGAAATAAATAAATTATATTTATCTGTATAATAATAAAAAATAATAATATTTATTGGAATTCATTAGAAAAATAAAATTATTTTTTAATTGATATATTTATATGTAATGTAGTTATATATTGAAAATTAAAAAAAATTAGTATAATATAACACAAGTAAGTTGCACAAATAAAAAGTGTCATAATAAATATATAATAATATATATATTCTTATAAAAGGTATTTAAATTTTCAAACTACTTTTTCTCATTAATTTTAGATTTTAAGAAAAAAAATTAGCAAGCACCCGTGTAATACACGGGTGTTGTACTAGTGTGGGTATAAAAATAAATCTCAACTTTTTGTGCAAGATATCTAAGCATTACAAAGACAGGACATGTTAGTACTTTTATAATATAAGTTTAAAAATAAATCTCATAATTTTATTTACATTATTTGTTGAAATTTTAGTTTAAAATTTTACATAAAACTGAATATTATGGCTCTAAATTATAACAATCACACAAAATTAATTTCAAATCTAGCAAGGCAACAGTTTGCAAACACCAAAACAATTCTTCAAATATTGTATAAAGTCCAAACACATTTATGAAATACTAAGATTGATAGCATTCAATCACACATTAAAATGAAAGTAATGCATTAAAATACTCAAATATAAACAAATACATTGAAAATCAGAATTGCACATTTATTTATCTCGCGTTGGTAGAAAATAGGGGTAAAAAAAAAAGCTTCATTTAATGCCAAAAAAGTACTCCCTCCTTTTTTTAAATAATATGTCTAGATACATAGCAAAATGGATGAATCAAAAAAGTCAAAACGACATTTATTTAAAAAAGGAGGTAGTACTAATTTTTACTTGGCCACGAACAAAATACACACGGCTCGTATCCTTCCAATTTTTATTTATCCTCTCTTGAAAATAACCTTTTTTCTGCCTGCGTAAATACGGCTAAACTTTTAGGAAAATGAAATTCTAGATATATAATTATTATATTATATTTCACTTTTTTCTTTGAATCTTTTCCATATCATATTCGTTTTTTCTATTTACAGAAATCATTATATCAGTTAAAAAAAAAATTAATCCTAAAATCACATCCAATTTCAACCGTAGATTCCACCCTGCCGATGACGGGTTTTTCACCGTTAGATCCACACACCTGTATGGCTGTATCGGTATATGTTTGTGTAAGGTGAAAAATCCCGGTCACTCGGTAAAATAAAAATTCTAAACTCAAGAAAAGTTTAGTTTTACTTATGGTTATTAATGAAAGGTCCTACAAAATAAGATAATTAGAGCTGCAAAATTCAGGATTATGGAATTTGATAAAACAGAAAACATACCTCCTCACATCTGAGTGAGTCCCCAAATATACTCCATGTATAATCAATTCGGTCCAAGAACGACATGCTGAAAGTAAAATGAACCAGAATGTGATCATTTCGTTTTTTTTTTTTTTTTTT